CAATGATTGCGTCGACGCAGTATTTCATAAGCGGTGGAGGACTAGGCCCAGCTGTGCAGTACAAGCCTGCATTGCAGACAGACCGAAACCTTTACATTTCACCGAGGTTTATGAGTGAAAGGCGTCCTTTAGTTGATGCGTTGTTATTTTTCTTACGCGATCGGAAGCATAAGTGGCGCATCATGCCAAGCGTGGAGGAGTTTTTGAGAAAGCAGGCCGAGCAACCGCATCAGAGATCGCGAGTTGTGGCTCTCATTACTGAGTCTGACAAAGTTGCGCTCCCGGACCTTGCTGGCCTAAAGTTCGCTTGCACTGCCGAGCAATTTGTTAGCGCGGTTGCCAACAGGGACGCTGCGCAGTCGCGGTTTGGGGCATGCCGTCGATAACCATACGCATAGGCGTAATCTTGAGTGGACAGTCGCAATGCCAGGGAACATGATCAGTGGCAACGTGACAGATAAATGCCATCGTCTTATAACAATCAACACGCGTTGCCATCGCAGTACTTACCCGCAAGCAAGCACCATGAGCAAAACAGCAAACACAATACCGAGGCAAACGTCTGTTCAAGTGGATGTGCATGGGAACCGGCAACATGATTTAACTGCAATAGAACCGCAGCTCAGGTGCAAGTAGGAATAGGCCTAGCCATTACCGAACAACTGCAACTACTTACAATACAAATGTATACGAAACAGAATTCACGCTAGCCAGTACTCAGCTCGAACGGTTGCCTGCAGTGAAACAAGCCAATGGTTCCATTCCCCGTGCCAAACATTCCCTGGATCCCGGATTTCTTTTCCAGCAAGGTTGTGCTTGGCGGTTCCCCCGCCCCCGCTCCTTGCATCCTCGTATCCCTTCTGTCGTCCGAAGACTGCCCCCCGACGAGCTTGCCCAGTCAGCGAGCAATCCCACTCCTGTGGGCCGAGTTGCGTTTCTCCTCTCCCCCGCCCCCGCGCGCCCCCCCCCCCATGCCCCTCTGTTTTCTCAATCTCCGCCTTGGCCGCCTCAGCTGTTTTAGCTATCTCATTATTTTCTGATTTTCCGCAGGCGGGGCACTCTTGGGCGGAGATGTCAGCCCGCCCCAGGTCGCGCAGCCGCCAACCCTACCGATACACCAGGAGAAGCGATGACACTGCCAACATTACGCATCCAGATCGTTTGAGCGCCGTGCCGGCCGAGTGTGATGTCGCGCCCGTCTGGACTACGACGTTAACGCATGGACTGGCGAAGGTTGCGCATCACACGCACGCTCTTGCACAATATCGGCATGTTCTTCTTTGCGCCCGCTGCGGCACATGGACGGAACAGACGATTGGCAAGACGAAGTTGTGGAAGCCGTGTCCTCGTGGTTTTCCGTCGTATTATGCACTTGTGGGGATAACTCGCCTGGCGGTTGGACACTACCCGTATTTCCCTGGCCCTAACACGCAGGCGTTCGACATCCCGGATGGTAGAAATGTTCCAGGCAGTCAGAGGTTGGCTGCTCATCATCAATAAGCTTCCTCTTGAAATCCAGCGAAGTCGCTGTAAATAGTTCAGCCCGTTGGCCACGTAGACGGTGCTTGCCAGCGCTGCGTGGGGATATTTAGGGAACAAGCAGTTGTTTAAACCGCGTGTGCGCAGTTGACTGACGTAGCAACAAAGCCCTAACTGTGAGCTTGCAAGCTTGAGAAATCGAGCCTCCTGACCCTCCTCCCCGCCCCATTTTTAGCGAACGAAATCGTCAAACCCGTCGATCCCTCTCCTGATCGTGTACCTCCTTTTCCTTCTCCTCCTCGTGTTGTTCCTCCTCATCCTCCTCGCCCTCCGCTTTAGAATTTTGAAAATCATCGCCGCTCGGGGCGACGTCACGATGATTCGGATTGCGAAACGGGGGTGTCCCGTACGCTGGGGCAACAAAATGGGTACGTTAGAGACCGTAATGAGACCGCGCAATTGACAGCCTCCTCCGGCCAATCCTGTTCGCCATCCACATCGTCATCGTATCACAAGATTTGGCACCATCATTCAATCGTTACTTGTTGTGTTGCAATAGTATCGGGCAAGGCAGGGAGATGAGTCCACTGCCCATCGGGAGGGCTATCCCCAGCGCGCTCTCCACGGACAAACATTCGAGAGCGAGACAACACGGCAAGCCATCTCAACAGGCTGCCCTGCGAGCGTGGTCGACATTCCGCCGGTCGACGCCGACCGCGCAGCACTAAGAGCAATAACCTGCGATGGCGCCAGTCCCATGAGGGCCCCGAGAGGCCAACATCATGGATTGCACATCGGTGATTCAATGTTTCGGGGGCCCTCGACATCTCGAGCTCCCGACCGAAACGCCGAAGACAGTCCAAGAGGGCCCAAAGACAGCCCCAAGAAAGCCCCGAGGGGGGGACCGAACATCAGAGTCTTCCGGCCCCAAGGAGGCTCCAAGAGGCCCCAAGAAAAGACACCGAAGACGCCCCAGGAGGCACCCGAACCGCCCCCGAAGAGGCTTCAAAACGGCCCCCAAGAGGGCCCCCGAGAGCTTCCCGCGACAAGACAACGAGGCCTAGGGTCCAAAACCCATGAACGTTGGAGGGATAGGCCGAAGGCCTTTAGATACTTCTGAAGGGACGCGCCCGTGAAACCACCGCGCCCAATCGCCCGAGCGACGGGGAGGTGCCCGTCTTTCACCGTTTGGGCCCGTCTTGGGCCTCTTTGGGGGCCCTCCTGGACCCCTCTTGGGAGCATCTTAGGGCCCGCGAGAAACCCGAGATTGCCCCGCGGCAAAGTTCTTTGGGCATGCCGTGCGCAGGTCCATAAAAGGCCCTAGGTTGGGACAAGAAACCCCCCAAGGAAGAGCTCAACGAACCCCAGAAAAAAACACGCAAAGAGCCCCCCCCCCCACATCAAACCCATTGCTATCTCTTGACAGGGCATCGCCGCCGGCTGGGCCGCCGAGAGCTGGTAGAAAGGCTGGCAATCGTAATCGGCGTCGTCGTAGTCGTCGACCCCAAGACTCCGCTGGCTGGCTCCCTGGGGTCGGCCTCCCGACCAAGGCCGCTTCCAGGCCAGCCCAGATGGAGGGGTCAGCGATCCAAAGAGATCGAATCGTCGGAAGCAGCCCCTCCTTGAATCCCCTCTTCCTCTCCCCTTTCCTGCTCCTCCTCCTCCTTCTCCTCGTCCTCCTCCTGCTCCCCCTGCTCCTCCTCTGCCTTGTCCTTCCTCCCTCCTCCCCCCTCCTCCTTCCCCTCCTCCTCTTCCTCCTCCTCCTCTTCCTCAGCCTTGTCCCTCCTCCCTCTTCCCCCTCCTCCTCCTCCTCCTCTTCCTCCTCCTCCTCCTCCTGCTCCTCCTCCTCCTCCTCCTCCTCGTCCGCATCCGCATCAGCATCCGCATCCGCATCCTCCTTCCTCTCGTCCACCTGTTCCACCTCCTCCCCCTCCTCTCTCTCCTCCCCCTCCTCCTCCTCCACTTCCTCCTCTTCTTCCTCCTCCGGCTCCTCCTCCTGCCCCTCCTGTTCCTAAGGAGATGTGCTCCCCTCAAGGCTGTGTTTTTTCATCCCAACGATATTTAGGACCAGGCACCAATTCCTCATTCATGTTCTCCTCCTCCTCCTCCTCCTCCTCCTCCTCCTCCTCCTCCAACTCCTCCTCCTCCTCATCATCATCCTCCTCCTCAATGTCCTCCCCCTTCCCTCTCCCCCTCCGCCTCGTTTTTTCCCCCTATCCGCCTCCCGGTGTAGCTGTTCAGTGTGTTGCGCTGTATATTCAGATTCGCAAGCAAATATTTGCACGCATGTATATTCATGTAGGCGCAAACTGCATATATGGCGGCTCTACTCCCAGTAGCCCCTCTTCCGCCGAGCCTCCCGGCCCCGAGAGGCCACCCAGAGGCGGGGGGCCGGCCGGCACGACAGGTCGAGTAAATCTGATGTGAGTGATATGCCGGCCAGGTCAGTACATGGGCCGTACGGCACGACAATGTTACGCCAGATAGTTCAGGGGAGGTTTCGTGACAATTTCGTGCCGGGGCTGGGGCCCAAGGATGGCCCCCAAATGCGTTTAACAGTTTTAACGCCGAAACCTCTCGGGCAATTGTTGGAGTCAAACTGCGTGCGGCGGTTTGCCGGCGGATGCTCGGCGGAAGTCGGCAGAGGCACGTGCAAATGTCACGGAGGCGGTGCCGTGGACAGCCGGCGGAAGTTTTGCGGGGGTTGGCGGAAGTATTTCCTGGACGCGCAGATTGTTGCGGACTCGGTTTGTCAACGCGAGGCACGCTCCTCCCTGAAGGGGTCAAAAATCCTACAGGCGAGTTGCTTTTGTGCGGCTGGGCGGCCTCCGGGGGCCCCCGGCACGCACGCGTGTGGTACGGAGGGCAATTGGCACACGGTGCGAGGATTGCCAGGAGATCTGACCCCTCAGGCTCGCGACAGCGAAAATAATGACTGGGGGCAGAGGCTGCATCGGCCACGAAGCTGGGACAGATGTCAACAAATCGTGCCCCCCCGATCCTGGGACATCAGGACTGTTGTTAACATTTCGTGCCCCTCTTCTGGGGTGCCGGCGGAACTTGTGCGGAAGAAGGTGGAAGTAATGGCGGTCGCCTTCAGTGGGCGACGACGGCTGTTCTGTCCAGGGAGGCTCTGGGGCAACCTAAACGGTCGCCTCCTCTTGTCCTGGGTTCCTGGATGGTGGCGGCGTCGGGCGGCCTTCACCGAGAGGTCCCGTGGCAATCTAAACGGTCGCAACTCTCTTGTCCTGGATCCCTCAATGGAGAGCTATGTTAAGCAGAGCCGATTCGCAATTGGGCACATTATTTCGTGCGCAGTGGCGGCCATGGGCGCTGCGAATGGCGCGGCGCCCATGGCGTCATGTCGCAGTGCGGCGGTGCGAATGGCGCGCCGCCGCACCGCGTCGTCCGAGCTCCTGGCATTGCGAATGGCGCGTGCCAGGAGGTGTATATTGTCAGCGTCCGTAGTTTTGGGCTCAGACGTCTGTAGCTTTGGCTTACTCTGCAGCCTCGCAACCTAGTTCAACCTGCTTCTGCTTAGCCGGATGGCGCTCGACAGCGAGGCCGTCTTCCGGGAGCGCGTCGACAAGTTCGGCCTCGTAGACCTCTGGCCGAAGTTTGAAGAACATGGCTGGACTACAATGGGCTCGTTCGCTTTCGCCTGCCAGGTCCAGGCTGGTGGCAACCCAGACCCAGAGGCTTTCCAACGAGAGGTTCTGACTCCGTTGGGCGCCGCCGGAGCCCGCAGCACCACCGCAATCCGACGCTTGTTCTGGGATTCCTGGACCCATTCTTGCGCCAGCATGCGCCGCGAAATCGACCGTCGCGAGGACGACCCACCGATGTCTCTCCCAGCCAAAGAGATCGCGGTGCGCGTCGAGGCTGTGCGGAAGAAGGCTCTCCCTGGTCTCAACATCCGGGATCAGTTCGAGCCGGCTCGTGCAACGGTCACTACGTTCGCCCAGATGTACGAAGACAACCAGGTCAAGTACGTCCCTTGGGCCGACATCCCATCGCGCGCAGACGAGGACGCCAAGCCCGCGGGCAAGAAACCCACGGAGTGGCAGGAAGACGGGCAAGGGTATGTCAGACACGCCCCATCACGGTCGGCAGCTTCGGCCGATTATGGGACCGAGTTCCGCCTGTACCAGGTCCTGGTTCGGCGCGGCGTGGCGGCCGAGGCCGGGCGGGTGATGCACTTGGAGGTGCACCAGAAGATCCAGCAGCGCTGGTTGGCGGAGCTCACGGGCAGCAGCCCTGACCCGGCCTACAATCCGCCCACTTTGGACCAGGTCAAGCGGGCGGATGTCGAGTTGTGGCGCTTGCTGGCGGGACACCGAGCTCACAGGGATCCGCCCCGGCATTGATGGCAAGTGGCCGCTGGATGAACTCGTCCCTATTCTCTTGGATCACCCGCGCGTCGCGATGATCCTGACGCCTCTGCCGAAGACCGCAGCGCCGCGTGGCGGCGCCGCCGCGAGCGCTCCCGGCGGAGACCGGCAGGGCGACCAGGGCTCGGCAAGGACCAGGGCAGAGAAGCGCAAGGAGTCCAGGCAGAGGCAGGCGGAGAACAAGCGGCAGAAGCCAGCAGAGGTCGCACCCGCCGCAGTGGCGCCGAAGGGGGCCGGCAAGGGCAAGCGCACCCCCATGCCCAGGGGCCTGATCGGCAAGAACCGGCAGACGCCGGATGGGCAGCCGTATTGCTTCGACGCCAACCTCCCGCACGGGTGCCCTCACGCGCAGGTGGGCCAGCGGTGCTCGAAGGGGTGGCACTTGTGCTGCGAGCCAGGTTGCCCCAAGGGCGCAGTGGGTTGTTCCGACCCCCACTGTTTGCCCCGCCACCAGTGAAGGGGTCCGGCCGAGGCCGCGCCGCTGCTGGCCTCGGCTGTACACGAGGCGGACCCTGAGCAGCGGAATAGGCGTCCAGAAGGGCGGGCCCCTGGGGCAACGGCGCGTTGCCCCCAGTCGCCCGCGGCCGCCCTTGGCGGCCACCGTCCGGCGTCAGCGATTCGCGCCTGCCGGCCTGTCGCGCCCGTCCTTGGGGCGCCAGAGCCCGACGAGGCAGCGGGCGGGCACGCCGAAGCGGCCCGCGATCGCCTGGCTGCCGCGACGGGCACGCAGCCGCGCAGGCAAAGGCGATCCCCGCTGGTTCCGGAATTCTCCGGGTTCGCAGACGTTCGGCTTCCGCCAGAGGCGGCCTTCGCCTTACAGGTGGGCGACGTGCTGCGCGAGCCTGTGCGGCACTGCGACGGCGAAGCGCCCGCAGGGGCCAAGGTCCTCCTCCTCGGCCAGGAGACTGGGGGTGACCACGGGGCCGAGGCAAGATGGGTTCCTGCGAAGTTCGGGCTGCCCTGGCACCCCGACGAGTTTGCCCGCGCGGCAGCCGGGGCAGTTGCGCCCTTCGACCAGCTGCCAGAATTGCGCTCGCACGTTCTCGAGACAGTGTTCTTCGTCCTTACCCGCGGCCCGTCTGAGGTTGTGAGCTTCCGCCGGCTGGCGTTCACTGGGCCCGCCGGGCGCGAGCCTTGGAACAGGACGAGGCGAGGCTGCGCGAGTCCATGGAGCCCGGCGTGCGGCACGTGCTGCGCGGCGAGCGGCTCCTCCTGCTCGATGAGATGGCGCAGGCTGCGGGTTACCCAGATTGCGGGTTGGCAGCCGAGGCGGCCGCGGGCCTGGCGGTCATCGGAGTGCCCCCGAGGACCGGGGCGTTCCCTCCGCTTCCGGCCCCGGCGAAGGAGTCCGTCGCCGCCGTCCTGGCGCGCGCCGCGGAGGCGCAGCGCAGCGCGCGGCCGTTGAGTCTGCAGGGCCATCGCCCGACCCGGCTCTGGACGCGGAGGTCGAGCGAGTGACGCTGGAACAGGAGGCTGCTGGCCTCTTGTCTGCGCCGTTAGTGGCGGAGGTTTCCGCCGCGCTCGGCCCGGACTGGCCCCCCGCCCGAAGGTTCGGCCTCTGGCAGGGAGGGAAGGCGCGGGAGATCGACGACGCCACAGAGTTCGGTGAGAACTTGATGGTGGAGCGGACCGAAAAGCTCGATGTTCTCGGCCTCGACGAGGTCGCCGGCTTGGCCCGATGCTGGGCGGAAGCTGTGGACTGGGACCGGCGGCGCGCCAGTGTGCGCCTGCCTGGCGGCGCTGCTCTTGAAGGCAGGCTGTCTGACGAATGGAGTCGCGCGGAGGCGGCGCGCCTCGCAGGCCGGACACTGGACCTCAGCAAAGCCTACAAGCAGTTGGCCAAGCGGCCAGAACACCGCAGGTACTCAGTCGTCACGTCCTGGTCTACGTCCAGGCGCCGCGTGGAGTTCCGCCTGGCTTATTCCCTCCTGTTCGGGGAGACCGGCGCCGCGTTTCGGGCCAACCGCTTCTTTCGGCCTCTGGAGTGGATATTCTGTAAGCTCTTCCGGGTCGCTGTCACGAATTACTTCGATGATTATCCGCACCTCGAGCCCGAGGTTCTGGCTGCTGGGGGCCATGCCACGGCCTTGGAGGTCCTGAGGCTCCTCGGGTGGCCCCCGAAGGAGGAGCGACCGGAAGACAGGGTGCCGAGGCCAGTGTTCTCCGCTCTCGGGGCGCACTTCGACATGAGCCCCCTTGTCGAACACGGCTGCTTCAGGGTTGGCAACAAGCCGGGCCGGATAGAGTCCATCAGCAAGGACCTGGCGATGATCGAGGCCAGGGGCCGTGTCCGCCGCGGCGAGCTGGAATCCCTCATCGGCAAGTGCCAGCATGCCAGGTCAAACACATTCGGCCGGCGCGGCGCTGCGGCCTTGCAGGCCCTCGGCGAGTTCAGGCAGACGTGCGCAGCGGGCGGCCGAATCACCCCAAGGGTGAAGTGGGCGCTGTGGTGGTGGCGCCGGTTCTTGAGCTACACCCGGCCAAGGGAGGTGCGCTGCCACCGACGCCTCCCGACGCTGCGTCCGTTCACGGATGGGGCCTGCACCCCTCGCCCTGGCCGCCTGCCACTGGTGTCGATCGGCGCCGTGCTGTGTCGCACGGGCGCCGCCCCTGTCGTGTGGGGAGCGGAAGTCCCAGGTGAGGTCGTGGCCAGGTGGCAGGACCGCGGGGTGCGCACTGTGGAGCAGGTGATCGGCCAGGCGGAGCTTGCCCCCGCGGTCGTGGCCCGCCTCCTGTGGCCGGACGTGCTCCGACAGGCAGTGCTGCTCCATTGGGTTGACAACGAGGCGGCGCGCTTCGGCCTCATCCGGGGCTATTCGCCGGTGGAGGCGAGTGCAGAGCTCATCTCGTGGTCGCAGGAGTTGGACATGGCGCGCGGCACAGCGTCGTGGGTTGAGAGGGCCCCTTCCCTCGGCAACCCCGCCGACAAGGCGTCTCGCCTGGAGTTCGATGGATACCAGGGCGCGGTTGTGCTGGAGGCCGTGCCGTGCTTAGCTTTGTTCTGGCAGGGCTTGCTCGACCCAGAACGAAGCCCGTCAGCGTTCGACAGTCATGCAATGCGACTCGACGCTGGCATTTCCAAATGATGAGAGGCGGCCCGAGGAGATGAGGGTAGACGGAGGCCCGCCTCCCTTGCGTCGCTGAATGCACCATGGATGCAATGCGCAATGTGTTCCCCACGGTGAAAAACGACTCTCCTTGACGCTTCGCGTGTCTCCGCCCGCGTCAGGGGAGGGTGGGGGTAGATGTGGTTCAGGAAGCAGGAATATGTCCTGTATGTGATGGCATGTGGACGTCTGCTGGCGAGGGCCCGGGCGGCTGGCGGAAGGCGGCTCTACTCCCAGTAGCCCCTCTTCCGCCGAGCCTCCCGGCCCCGAGAGGCCACCCAGAGGCGGGGGGCCGGCCGGCACGACAGGTCGAGTAAACCTGATGTGAGTGATATGCCGGCCAGGTCAGTACATGGGCCGTACGGCACGACAATGTTACGCCAGATAGTTCAGGGGAGGTTTCGTGACAATTTCATGCCGGGGCTGGGGCCCAAGGATGGCCCCCAAATGCGTTTAACAGTTTTAACGCCGAAACCTCTCGGGCAATTGTTGGAGTCAAACTGCGTGCGGCGGATGCTCGGCGGAAGTCGGCAGAGGCACGTGCAAATGTCACGGAGACGGTGCCGTGGACAGACGGCGGAAGTTTTGCGGGGGTTGGCGGAAGTATTTCCTGGACGCGCAGATTGTTGCGGACTCGGTTTGTCAACGCGAGTGCGCACGTTCCGCAGCCGTGCAAATTCAAGGTATGATGAGGCACGGTGTAAACATTTTTTAACCCCACCCACCCGCCCTGATACATTGAGGAGCGGACGGGGTAGACGGAGGCCCGCCTCCCTTGCGTCGCTGAGTGCACCATGGATGCAATGCGCAATGTGTTCCCCACTGTGAAAAACGACTCTCCTTGACGCTTCGCGTGTCTCCGCCCGCGTCAGGGGGGGGTGGAGGTAGATGTGGTTCAGGAAGCAGGAATATGTCCTGTATGTGATGGCATGTGGACGTCTGCTGGCGAGGGCCCGGGCGGCTGGCGGAAACACACACATATATATGTATATATAACTGTTTGTATATATATATATATATATA